AACACACACAACCGCTATGTTAGAATAAAGTATGAGTAACGGTTACTAAATTATGTGATATTACGGTATACTGTATATAACATTAAGTTCGAAAAATGACGTATGATGTAATTAATGATTTAAGAACTTTACGCTTAAATATTGTCACGTTATCACAAAATAAGTCATCTTCACAAAATTGTTGTAGGATCTTTGTTTTTTTTTTTATTCAATTTATAACTAAATTAGTAGGACAATATGATAACTTAAACATGTTATAGCTATAATTCCTATCTGGTACATTAAACTGAGCTAGGGAAAGTAGATTATTACAGTCGTAGAAGTTAACTAGTTTGTATATAGCAAATACCAGAAATTATTTTTCTATTATACAGTGTTAACATATTGGATCTTTTCATGACTGGACCATAATTACTCAGTGATAGGAGTGCTACATTTGTAGGCAAGCGTATGTAAAAACTTTGTTGGATTATTTCAATTCGATACGAATGAGTGGCGTAGAAAAGATTTTATATAAGAGAGGCGAAATATACATACGAGTAATTCAAGGAAATAAGGGTTCTTGGATTTATGAAGTTTTTATCGGTCCTTCTTATGAAACTCAAGACAAGACATGCAAAGGACATCCTAAATACTGAAATACTGAGGTACCACGAATGTTATAAAGAAGCTAAGCATATTTTCTTGATAGGATTTATCTTCCGACACCAAACGACAGGTATTGTTTGTAATCGCGAATAATTTTTAAAATCAGATATATGGTTTATGGATGTAATATGACATATATGTATATATTTCCGTCGGTCTGTCTGTCTGTTGTATGAAATTTTCACTCACGGTCACCACCGTGCCCAGGACCAAAAAGCGTTATAGTTTTTGGATCGGCCCAGTGGAGGAGCTGCGGACAAAAACATGAAAAAAAAAATCGCTAAAACTTTTTCCGACGCAGAGGCCCCTAATCTTTTCATAACAAAAATTGTGGGGGTTGAAATTCGAGGTTGGGGGTTGTATGGGGTGGGGCAGGGTACATTAAGTTTTTCTAATATTTAGGCGCTCGCAACTCCAGTAATTCTACATTACCATTAGCCATCATATATTTCCCCCTTCATTTGCCTTTAAAACTTGAACTATAGAGAAATGTTTTTGATTAGCGTCTCCTTCTGCTATCTGGGCACAGCGCTCGCTTGAATGTTCTGCTCATACTGTGGCGGTGCTTCGGTGGGTGCTGCCGCGTCTCACGATATGGGAATGGGCAACGTTGCTAGGTGGATGCTAACTATCGGTACCAACTCACTAATTGTATGGGGGCGTGTTTGAATGACTTGATCCATTTAATGTGTCTGATGTATATGATCATAACTATTTTCTCAGAGGGTTTAACTTGTGCTGAACGTATTCCTTTATGGACTGATGACGGCATTGCATAGAAGTGCACAGTCAACCTACTTGACGATATTTTTTGTAGTGAAATGCTCCTTGGCAGCTAACACTGGCCATGATTACTTTCAAAACGAGCCGCCATTGACAGCAGGGCCCATTACAGTAAGTAGCTGTTCCGAACACCGATTAATCAAAAACGTCGAAACAAAGGCTGGGAAACAATTTCATGAATTTCCATAAAGTTACGGCTAAGTGAATTTTGTATTAAGAACATTACTAGACTGAGTCTAAATGTCAAAGGGCGATATTTTTATTGTTTAGTAATTTTACAGCAAACATTGTACTGCTAGGCGTGTTTTGACATTGAAGGATTTCAATCAATTGAATTCACATGAAATACATTGCATAAGGACATTTTGCTGCATCTTTCGTGCACAACTTCATCCATAATGGTCACGTAAAATGCTACTATATTATATTTTTTGACGTCCTGCTGACTAGATTCAGACAGCTGGTCAGAATTGTTATGTTACTGATACATATCTAGGGTCACTTCACCTTCAACGCCTACTGTCGGGGAAGTGTTGAAATAGCAGAAACTTTGGAAAATGAGATATGCTTTTTTTGATGTTACATGACATCATATGAATGTAGTACATTACGGAAAACCATGTCACTCATTTCTGCCTGTCTGTCCGTCCGTTTATTCTATAACCGCCTCTAACTTGAGAAGTGCCGCTGTGATTTTGATGAAATTTTTACACAATGTTACTACTACTCGACAAGGACGAAGAAGCTTAGTTTTTGACAATTGCTCTAGGGGCGGCGAAGAAAAAAGGCCAAAACGAAAAAAAAACTTTGTTTTTGACATTTAAGAGATAAAGGGTAAACCTCAATTGTTAGTATATTTATTCCCTCCCAACCTAGGCACTTATTAGACATATTTCACACATTATAGATTTCTCAGTACATTAGCATTTAAAACTAGCGCGGAATGCACGCACAGAAAATTAATTTTCACAGAAAAAGAAGAAAACCGCTGAAATTTACATTTTCTATCCCCTACAGGAATGAACTGCTAAGATGATTTGGGTTACAAGAAGGTTTGGCTTTGTTCGATTTTTAGATTTCTTTGTTCTGAAACAAGCATTGATGCAAAAAGAGGCTGTACACAACTAACTACTATTAGACAGAGATAATGGAGATTCCATTTCATAAGTACTAATTTAGTTAGAGATTGACTGTAATGGCCTCCTAAATTTAGTGGTTTAAACTAAGTAATTACATCTCCAATTACCTCATGGATCTCGCAGTATGTTTCCTAGAGGTTGTACAACTGAAATAAAACGATATGAGCAGAAACCAAATGCAGTTTTCGATGCAGCATAATATCTCTAATAATGTGTATATCAATTACCCGCTAGAAATAATTTGTTTTTTTGGGTCAGGTATTCGGGGCATCGGCCCCACTGTGCGCCGCTGGCTTTTGGTCTATTACATTACACGCATACACTTTACACGCCAGTTAAACATTCCAGTATATCAGCAATTTCAGTGTCAAAACCACTCGTGAGTTATCTGCGGTTTCAGTTAGCCCAACCGGTAACCGGGCAGTTAGGCAGCCACAAGAATGCCGGTGTGATCCGGATATTAGCAGTAGAGTTACTCCATGATTACTCATGGATGGCACGCTGCCAGGAAGCCCATTTACCCGTGAATGAAGGGCGTTTTAGTGAAAGTTAACTGCCTTCGCGACTCAGTTAAGTGCTACCGAAAAATCTATGAAGTTTGCGGAATATAAGGTGCTTTCTCTTGAGTGCTGTATCTTTTCTTGAATACAGTTGCGAGAACATGCAGAAATTTCTATTATCCAAAAAAGTATGACCGACTATCGCTGCAACAGATCAATGCATAAGAATATAAGTGTATAGTTAAACAGTTAAATTGATAAATAAAACTGCTACCACGTTTGTTTTACAAAGGTTCGCAGAAAAAAAGACAAGTCAGGTCACTGGAAGCCAAAACGGTTTCTTCTGAAGTCTGCGAAAGTACTTTTACGACATGATAACCATATGCAACAAATAGTGTTAATGTCAGATACGTTTACATTCTGAGAGAACAAAAAAATCGTCATTTTGGCAAAGGTTAAAAATCGCATTAAAATGAAGTAGGTAATCTCGAAATATCCACCGGGGTCCTATGAAGCAAGGTTTAAACTTTAAATACTTGTCGACCTTAAAAAATATAATTATTAAACCATTTTTAGGAATTTGCAGACATTAAGTCGCTTATAACTCGAAAATGGTCAGCTTTAGAGAAAAGTTAATGGAGGCTATTTTCGGAATGATCAAAAAAAAATATTTAAAAAAAATATGAGTTGTCCTGTGCGGATATCTTCAGTGCATGAAAATTCTGTTAAAAATTACAATTTTTGAGGTCGCAAGTTTCTAAATTGAAGTTTAAACCTTGCTCTACAAGACTTTCAAGGGTATTTTAAGATTAGTTCGTTTTAAAACGATTACAACCTTATTGTTCTGGCCAAAATTAGGGAATTTTTGGTTCTCGAATACTGACATAGAAAAAAACACCCAGTAATAATGAATTTATCACAAAGATTTTGCTAGGTATATGTTTGTTAAGGTTAGAATAGAAAATGACCAGCTTTTCAACCATATTGATAAAGTCTTTCTTCTTCGTCTGTTGTGTTTTGTGGTTACAATTGGCGTTTGGTCGTCATTGTACAAAACGTTGTGAAGAGCTGCTTTAATTTAAGAACGGCCCCACATCAAAATCGCCGCGTTAGGCTTTTGGCTCTACGGAACCTTCTTCTCGTCCACGGACCAATGGTTTGGAGAGCATGGAAAGCATATTACAATGCGACTTGATACATCTTCATCAAGCTTTGGACGCACTTCATACCGTAATCTAATGAGGTACCTCAAGAGAAATTGATCATCTGATTACCAGACGTGTTTCTCGGTACATAAGATATCGTCGAGGGCCCTCAAATTATTCGTTGTTTTTCATTTTTCAACGGTTGAATTTTTCTGAAATTTTGATCACTTACTTACCTAACCCTAACAGACAGTATACAAAAAAATTGTTGTAATAAATCTAATATTACTGGATGTTCTTCCGGACAAGAAATACTGGTCGGGACTTTTTTTTTGCTGTAATCAATAAATATGTATCACAACTGTACGTGTGTAGAATTGACAGTATTAAAACGTTAATAATCTACTTGAGTCCTTTTTTGTTACAGTGTTAAGCAGAGATAAAAAACTGGGGTCATAGCGATAATGTTGTAAAACGTCGAATGAAACTTCAGACTAATCAGCAAGAGGAATATCTCTGAAATACTGGATAGAACACTAGAAGCACTTATTTCAGTAGATCCGTGGTAATTAACAAGGAAACTGCAAATATTCATAGTCAGATGGACAGTGACCCCAGTAGCATTTGCCTAGTGGTGGAAATAACAACATGTAAATCTTTAGGTGAAAGCATTATCTGGCCATATGGGTTTAAAAATAATAAGCAAGATTCACTATGATGTCATATTCGTATAATATGATTTCCGTACTTCCGTTAGAAACACAATTCAATATCAGCAACACGAGTGAAATACGGGATCTTATTTGAACTTACATAATCGTCCAAAGGAGTGTGAGAGCCTCTTCCGAAGTTTCTGCATTCGGGATAACGCTCCACTTTTCTTCTCGCGCATTGTGACACCTGACGTTGGTAGACCGGGTAATCCTGAAAATAAAACCAAAATGAGGTCTACACTTTTTTGAGATACCATTTGTTTGGGACAGCTTAGTTCTTTATAGTAGTATTTGGGATTGTTTGTTTCATGTTAATGCTGTAAAACTCTTATGTTCTATGCATCTTGATTTGAGGTCGTATCAGGCAACAATGATTTATGTACATATGCTGAGTAAATGAAGATGTGTTTACCTTCCGATTATTCCCTGTACTGAAGCTTCCTATTTCCATCATTATATGTTTCCACTACCAATACGATTAACCTTATTAAATGAAACGTATAATAAATTTCAGGAACATTATCTTTTGTTTATGTTTCGTTGAATGTACTCTAAAATAGAGCAGTATGATGCCGACAAGCTTCTTGGAAATTACCGATAAAGGGTAAACTTTAGAAAAATCTCGATTACATGAAAAAGAAAAACGGCATTATCATGGATATGTACATCGAATCAGATAATAGCTTCGTGTTTATGATTACTCTATCTTCGTACAATCAATACGCCCAAATCAGATCAGTGACCACAGTAACCAAATAAGTTCGTAATAAATCGTTTACCTTTTCTTTTAAAATGGAGCATGGCCAAGAAATCTGTCCAAAACTTGGGTTTTTTGTAACAGCCGTTCATAATTTCTCAACGCGTAACACAACGAACAATATACGGAGTCAAAGGCGTTTGAATGCTCACTGAGATTACGGTGATGGTTCCTTTCAGTCGAACTGTTTCCCAAAAGCCTCGATAATGTCGCCGTTTGATAAGAAATGAGATAAAACGATTATTTTATCTGTGTGAAAACAATCGTAAACAAATGGGAGCATCGTACAAGCGCCCTACAATGAGTAAGATAAGGACATATATATAAACAAAATATTATCACAATACCTATAAATGAATCAATGCATTTGTTAAGTAAGACGCGGAAGTATGATAATAGTTCATACCTGATTATGTGATTACCTATTAATTTTAACTTAAACATAACATAAACAAAATAATTCTAAAAAGTAAATTTTCTGACAACTTCTATGTATCTTGAATTTTTTATGATTTCAACGCTTACTCGAAGGAGAAGAATCAGAAAGGTGCACCTAGAAAAGTTCCAAATAAATTTTCAAGACGAATATACTTTACAGTATGTTACCACTAATATCATACGAGTATAGCTCAAGTCATACGGACAGGGAGCGTAGATCAGAAGTGACAGCAACGGCCCAGTCACACAAGACTCCCTATAATATTTGAGCTGTGTAATATTAGTGACATGCTGTATATACCGCTATGGAACCTTGAGTATGACCCTCAGAGGGTAATTATTAAAGCTTTTCATGTAGTTTCGTGAGTGAGACTTTTTTATCAGACGATTACCAGGATGAAAACCCTGAACTCCTTGCTTCAAACCCCACAAATCAAGGTTTCACAAAAATCGATTATATCCCTCACATCTGAACCCCCTATACATATTGAATTAAACACCCTACACTACACTCTTTAAAATGGACTGAAGTTAAAATTCCCTCTACCAGTAACGATCCTTGGAATAATGTTTGTCTTCTTTGAACATTTTCTAAAGCTTTAAACAATTTGAATACCTTAAACTACAAAATAGTGAATACAATTTTTCAGTTTTCTAATCTGTATATAGTACACAAGCTTGTGAATATTACTGTATATAGGGTTGCAGTAAAGACCAAAATATAGAACCAGTGAAACAAACGGTTACAATTTATACGATCAACGTGAAAATCCGAAAACTGTAAAAGATCTCAACTCAATGTCAATATATACTTCTATGCAGATCACCTACAGAAGCTCTCACTTCAGCACGAGCTATCCAATAAAATCTTGTAGCATCGGCACCCGAGATGAGACTGCTCTAGATCGAATTTGTATTGTTGTCTTTTCATTTTACGTTCAGTGATGAATTCGTTATCGAGTGAAGGTTTTTGAAGGAAAAGGCTATGGGTAAAGCTTCTCGCACAGTTATGTTATTAACCATATACTAGTATGCAATAAAATTGTAATGTGGGGTGCAAATCAGTGTAAATGGCAACAGCTGCTCGTTACTGACCATGTCTCCTAGCTTTTGCGCTGTTTCGTATAACATCCAAGAAACAGAATCTCATTTTCGAAATACTTCGCGATCAAACTACTACCTCGCCAGTGGCATAGCGAAGTAATGTTAAAAGGTTGAAATTTGAAATGGTTATTATAGATGAATATTTTTTACATAATAGTCTACAAGTTAATCATCAGACCGTAAGACTAGAATACTTATCCTTAGGCATCAAGCTGGGTTCTATTCGATGGGTTCCCATGGCCACTTACTGGCCTCATAATAATATTGCATTGGTATTGTCATATTAAACGTCCGCCATATTGGATTATAATGATGTCACTTTGCTTATTGTATTTCTTTTATCAATCCTTTTCATTTGATGTCCATAACATCGGGGTGATTATGGTAATCATAAACCGATGTTTTGCGGCGGCGGCCATATTGGATCTAGAATGATGTCACGTTGCTTACTGAAACTCTCTCATAAAGCCTTTTCAGTCGATAACCATATGATAGGGGGTAACAATAAAAATTATAAACGCCATCTTGCGGCAGTCGACATATTTTGAAGAGACATTTTGCCCTTTTATCTGATCTCATGTTATAGGAGTGGCTGTGGAAATTATAAATCGCCAAATTACGACCTCCGTCATACTGGATTTAGAATGACGCCAGTTTGCTTATTGTGTTTCCCTCATCAAGCTCTTTCATTTGATACCCATATCATATACCTACTATGGAAATGATAAATCGCCATTATGCACCATACGCTGCTAGATTCAAAATGACGACAGTTACAGTTTTCATACGAATCAGATAGGTATAAAAAATTTCACCTCGATTGGTTGAGGTTAATTGGTTCAAAATTGAGTTTAAGGATTTGTCCCACACATGCATACTAAAGATTTAACGTACCTACAGTTACTTGTACAAGGTTGGCAAAAAGTGCCACTGTTAACGCAATTTATATTGAAATCCCAGCTCAAATTAAGCCTGGAGAAAATGAAAACGGTTCAGGACAAAATTGTATTTTCTGTCTCTCTGAAGATACTCTGAATTGCCAAACTAAGTAACATTTTATTAGTTACCTAAAAAGCAACTTTGTCTTCAGAAGCGATTTTGTATTGTATTGCTTACCGTTTCCGAATTTGAAATCCCTAGTGCGTATATTTAGAGTACATTTAGCAAAGCTGAATTAAATTTCAACGTAGATTTCAACTAATCCTAGTAATTTCTTTTGAAATACATATTCGCTCAGCTTGGGGAGAACTCTGCACATGAACAATTTTGTCCTAGTTAATTATTTTAAAAAAATCATTTAACGAGAACATGTACCCCGAGAGCAAAAATAGTGAGAAAAGTGAATGTTTTCAATGAAAAGTGAGTAAAAGAGAGATGCATCGAAAAAAGTGCGAAACAGTGAAAAAATTCAGTCGCCAGCATCTCTGTATTTCTACTGATTTGTCAATAAACCTTCATCCGGTGGAGAAAATTTGAGAAAATTCAATGATTTCCATAAATTATTAGTCTCTTGGTTGGGATATAATAGACACCCTACAGAAAAATCGACTGCACCAATAAGAATGTGTGGCATTTTATAGTATGGAGATATATTGATCAAGGCGCTATTACGTCCATCCTTTCAGTATATGCTTTCATTCGAGGTTTTTCATTCTCTATTACAGCAGCTCAGCAGCCACCATTGCATATTTCTCCAGACGACAAGGAAATTGAATTCTCTCGAGATCGTCGGAACTCTAACCACGTCAATGTTTATTTATTATTGCTGGCAGAGAGATCTATTCAGGAATACTTGGCATTATTGCTTGGGATCGATATGGACGCTGGACACGGTCTGAGAATTCCTTAATATTTAAAGAGACCTTTATTACTAGAGAAGATAGACTCGACGACACAACTGGTATTATGACCAAAATTTTAATCCAAGGTAGTTTATCAAATACATTATCGATCAGAGATGACTGCTCTGCAGGCCATTCAAAATAACATAGTTGAATAAATAAATTCCTTTGAAATTGTTGGGATTGAACATATCAATATTCATTTTTGCTGGAGGAAATGCCAATTCAGGTATACTTGGTATTATTGTTTAGGGTCGATATGGACGGTGGACATGGACGTTCCTTAATGCTTTAAGAGACTCATTACTAGAGGTGCTACGAGTAAGGGTGGGTATATAGACAAAACAATAAAGGACAGATTATGATTTCACTTGGGATGTTTTTTATTGGTCTTGACTGGTTTTTTCTCATGTTTCAGGTCATGTCTTGTATAAGCCAAACGGGCATAGATGATTGTTTTGAAAATGAGTCTCCTCGTGCTGCTCATAATAATCAATATAAAATGTGTGCATAATATGGGAGCAATATTCTACCCAACCAGCATTTGCTTAAAATGGGCTATCACCCAAGAAAAAGTTAGCTATATTTGTCAAATTTTAGTAATTATATCCTTCAATGTTGTCCTCAAAAGTTGAATTGTCTGGAGAGTTGAATCCTATATCAAAAATTGGTAACTACGTACCAAATTAGTGCCCTAATAGACCTTTGACCAAGATATTAAATTGGTTGGTTCAGTACTACAAAGAACACACCTCTAAGAAGTACTTTGAGAATTCTTGACATTGAAGACAAATCCAGAACTTATAGCTTACCGAGTATTAACCCAAAATATGACCTCAATGTTAGGTTCTTTTTTGGGCATATTGGTAAGCTGAAATTATCTTATTAGTGAATAATAAAAATTCCCTATAAGTTTGCAACAGATATTGGTAAAAAACAAGTCAATAACCCTATTGTACACCTTCAGATTACAAGGAATATTTTACTTGCACCTCCCCCGTACTGATTTTTGATGACTATTTGATAATCGTTTATTTTAATTTGCAACGTGCTCTAATTTAGAAGGCGCCTGAAAATTTAAACAGAAAGGTGCCTAAGGTTTATGGGCACACCTCGCAATACTATCGGGCTGTTAAAAGAGACTCACCTAGCACGATTTTTTAAACGCGCATGCGCGTTCAATTCGGAAGTATTGCGGTAATATTACGTTCCGCTCAATATTAGAACAGTGTAATACAGAACGTTATTTTTAAGTGATAATTTCTTATCTATGGCACGTTATAGAACCTAACCTTTTTTTATTTGGAACAAGCTGAATACGGGATATTTAAAAACCACACAGTATAAACCAGAGAACTATTCATCCCTGTCAGGAATTTTTTTCCATCGCTTACCCGCAATACGAAGTGCGATTAAAGTATAATTCATACTAATCCTACCAGCTACAGAAAACTGATAAATACAGCCAGGACCTAAGTAATTATCAGGTCTGAAATAGGGGAAAATCCTCACAGGTCGAAATTCTGAAAACGACCATATTTGATATATTTTAAAATTAAAGCATGAACATTAACTAATTGTTCACTTACTATGTTACTTTTTCCAAAAAATACCGCCAAAAAATATGTTTATTTTGCATATAATTAACACCGTAGCACCTTAAAACAAAGCGTTCTTACAATTTGAGGTTATGTTGTTGTCACAGCGTCTCGTTAAAATTGATAACATAATTTGTCAATGTAGCTAATATCTAATTTTGGGT